GATAGTTGAGAACCTAAAACCAGTGTATGACATATTGATAGTTGAGAACCTAAAACCAGTGTATGACATATTGATAGTTGAGAACCTAAAACCAGTGTATGACATATTGATAGTTGAGAACCTAAAACCAGTGTATGACATATTGATAGTTGAGAACCTAAAACCAGTGTATGACATATTGATAGTTGAGAACCTAAAACCAGTGTATGACATATTGATAGTTGAGAACCTAAAACCAGTGTATGACATATTGATAGTTGAGAACCTAAAACCAGTGTATGACATATTGATAGTTGAGAACCTAAAACCAGTGTATGACATATTGATAGTTGAGAACCTAAAACCAGTGTATGACATATTGATAGTTGAGAACCTAAAACCAGTGTATGACATATTGATAGTTGAGAACCTAAAACCAGTGTATGACATATTGATAGTTGAGAACCTAAAACCAGTGTATGACATATTGATAGTTGAGAACCTAAAACCAGTGTATGACATATTGATAGTTGAGAACCTAAAACCAGTGTATGACATATTGATAGTTGAGAACCTAAAACCAGTGTATGACATATTGATAGTTGAGAACCTAAAACCAGTGTATGACATATTGATAGTTGAGAACCTAAAACCAGTGTATGACATATTGATAGTTGAGAACCTAAAACCAGTGTATGACATATTGATAGTTGAGAACCTAAAACCAGTGTATGACATATTGATAGTTGAGAACCTAAAACCAGTGTATGACATATTGATAGTTGAGAACCTAAAACCAGTGTATGACATATTGATAGTTGAGAACCTAAAACCAGTGTATGACATATTGATGTAACACAGTACACTAGGCAAAATCGTTGATATACGATTGTATACGCAGATATATATTTTGTGTATATTCACGATATACGTTCAGTATACGCAGATATGATTACGTATACAAATCGTGGAATATACGTACATATGCGCTGCGTATTGTTATGGTTTCTTTCACACATGCCCGCCTTGGGTGGCACGCAGCGTATACATACATATTTTACATGCATTCTTGTAGTACAATTTACGTTGATTTATGAAGTCTGTATATTCACCCATACGTGGAGAATCCTGTGCACCTGGCATTGTCCGATCTTATTTGGGATCACATGTGAGTAGCGATCGCGGCCGCCTGTACTTATAATAAATAATTTCCGGAACTGTTGAATCGCACGGCATGTTTAATTGATCTCAAAAACGTTTCCTGTTTTGCCGAGCACATGTAATTGAGAAATGGCGGTGTACAGGTACAATTTAGAAGCGATTGTTACTAATTTCTAAATTAAAAAAAAAATTCCTGACTGAATTGCTTTGATATTAACGTGACTTCTTCATTTGTCTCACTATACACTGGTGCATTCAAACACAGGACAGGAAATTACACAATATGTTGATTAATTGCAATATCATTCGCAAGCCTGAATGCAAACAATACGAGGTGTGAATATTTTGGCGAGTGTTAAAATACTTTCCATTTGGGTCGTGTGCGTTTTTCTCGGGCCGGTTTAAGATCTCATACGCGTGAATGTTGGCCGATCGGTTCTGACACGAATGTCATTTTGGTAAGAATAGCCACAAAGTCCATACCAAGAAAGTGAAATGAATTCTCACTGAGTTACATGTAACAAAATTGGTTGAATTTGCCGTCATCATAATTTCTAGAGATCGTTTGATCACAGAGTTTCATTTCTATTCCATTTACCATCGTACGCTGCGTTATTTTCAGAATATGGTCACTCTACTAGTAGCGTGAATGTGATATCACCACATACACTAGGAACACATAACAGTGAACAACACTAAACATAGCAATTTCATTTCAAACAACTATGGATATTTCTCCCTAGTGCTCTTTGCAGTGACGTTTCAGATTTGCAGACACAATTCTCATTGTCTTCATTGAACCATAGACAGTCTATAGTTGAACCTGCTGTGTGGTACTTGGCAACGCATTAGGAACTGTGTAAATGTTTGTGAAAACTGGACTGACAATTCATGTTTTAGTGCATTCACATCACGTGACATCACTTAATTATTCATGCTTAGCCGCGCAACAGTTTACATGTTCATATTTTTTTTATCTTTATTCAACAAAATCTAAAGTTTAACTTTAATTATTGTCATAAATACAACATTGAATCACTGCAGTGATATTCATAGTCACATGCATTTACTGTTTACTGCAGCGAGAATTGCAAAGAAATAATTCATATTGTTTAAAAGCCGACATGTATTTATACTTGGGTCACGACGATCCTTTTCCAAATCTGTCTGTAAACTTGTATTTTGTTATCAGGTTTCATTTATAAATTTAAATAAATGTTTGTCTCTTACTATCATTTCAATTCCTGAATACATTTTACTAGAAATTTTCTGTTTTCCATAGTCAATGGTATACGTGAGAGATACTCCAATGGTTCAGCCTCTCATTCGGGTATATATATTCATTTCAGCTTTGTGGTAGAGCATCTCACAATTCTTTGTGCGAACGGGCGTCATTAGAACATTGTCAACAATATTGAGGGCGCAATACACTTGTTGGACGTTATCATTATGGGTTGAGTTGGAACCGTCGTTTTGATAGCTACACTAACAAATCAAACACTATGTTTTAGTATGTACAGAATACTAAAATAACAAATATCTGTATTACTTGTGGAAATAAAATAATAATCGAACGTGATGAAACTGTGAAATGTTGAATTTCGCAATTGCACACCCCTACTAACAAAATGCTATACGATAATGTGACTTTTAACCACTAAAGCCCTTTTGAAATCAGTTACGTAAATGTTGCATTAACCCATTTCCATTGTAGATGTCTATTGTTGTTTCAATATTTTTAGTTCATTACTGGAATTTTATTTTATTTTTATTCTTCTTTTTATTAATTTCTTAACATTAAATGCATTAAATGTTAATTTCGTTATTTCTGTTATAGAAGTCCACTAAATTTAAACCACTTGAAATGAACTTAAATTGAAATTAAAACCCCATATGATTTATTTATTTGTGTACTTTTAAGTGTTTGTATTTTTATTACAAATAAATACTAAATCACTTGAATCATAAATGTCTGTCTTTTACTCCCACTATTGCAATTACCCAAAAACAACTCCTCAATATTAATTAACACGCAATTGCATTAGTTGCAATGTGTTATTGTTAACCGTAGATCTACTGTAAACGTTAATTCCGACTGTTTTTCCATTTTTGCTTATTTTATGAACATCGAGTGGCCAAATATTTCATTGTGAATCACCTACTACGTGACTGATTAACCGGAAATGAAGCATGACCTAAAATATATATGTGACCTGTATGCAAATGTTCCTGAAAAATCAGCCAATAGCATACGCTTTAAATATGCCGGGTATACGCAAAATATACGTAGATCTGCGGCGATGTTAATTGTGTGCACTGGTTTATTGCGTGACCGCATACGCTACGTATACGTCGATCTGCATCAGTATTAATTCTGTGCAGTGGTTCATCACGTGTCCGTATATATTACGTATACGTAGGAATACGTTAGACAGCATTGTTCTGCATTAGGTGTATGTTAATGTGAGCACTGCATACTTCCGGCCTCCGTAAATATACTACTGTGTATATTTACGTATCAGTATGTTCCGAATGTGTGAATATACGTTCCGTATTCCCCGTACATACATCGAATGTACATGTGCTGCTGACTAACGTATATCTTCGAATATCGGGAATATACGCGTGCTAATACGCTAATGTACCCGCCATATATCAACGATTTTGCCCAGTGGTATATTACAGTACCTTGAATACTTGAGTATTGTCATATTTCACAACTATCTCATAATAAACTGTCCCATAATTCACTTCATTACTTGGCTGCCATGTAATCAAAAAATTGTCCCATGATCCTTCAATATTCACAGAGTCGGA